TGGGAGAGACAACCATCCTGTGTGTGCGATCCTTGAAAGAGAACCTCAGAGGTCACCCACAGGACCCGGCAGGAGAGTGACCTAATTGTCTCCATTTTAAAGAGTTAACCCTCAGTTAACCAGAACCCCATTCCAAAAAGTATGGTCACCAGGTTTTTCTTATATCTGAAGGAATGCAAACTGCGCTGCCCTGGACATTCTGCTCTCAGATAGGCAGTTGTGGCTGCCAGTCACAAGTGAGGCAGAGCAGGGTATTTCAGAGGCAGAAACACAGGGGGCCAAAGCCAGAGGGCCCCTAAGGGAGCCATCAAGTCAGCTGCCCCTCTCCTCCCTCCCCTGTCCCACTGCTTTGCAGATGAAGGTAGGGATGCTGAAACTTTGATAGAGAGATGGCACATAGCTTTTCACTGCCAGGCAGTGCTGGACCAGACAACAGGTAGACCAGGCGTGTGCTGGGTCACCAGCTAAGCAGGAGCACCAAAAATACTTTCTGAAAGAATTTAACATTTGATCTTCCAAAGCACCATTCAACCAGCCCATGACAGGAAATATCCTGGATATCGACTGATCTTTCTTACACTTATTTTACAGGTTAGGGTTCTTGTTTTGCTTTCACATTATATCTGAGTGATGAACCCCATGCTTAGGACCTAAAGGGTCCTGTTTCTCAGGGTGCAGAACTTTCCTCAGTAGGTTCTCCCTGTCGGAATTGTCTGTGAGCTAATTACAGTGCAGGTAAGGACCAGGAAGTACAGAAAAACCAATCACCAGCTGTCCGACCCGATGCTGCATTCTACATACATCATCTCCTCCCATCACCCAATCCTGCCAGGGAGTGGTTATGCTTGTTAAACAAATGAGAAACTGAGGGTTAGAGGACAGACCCTTGTTCAAGGCCAAGACTGGTGAAGGGTGAGAACAGAAGTCACTCTGGAGCTAGCCTGCTGTAAAGGAACCCTGCCTGGCAACCAAAAGTCCTGGCTTCTGGACCAGTTCTGCCATTCACTTTCTCTGCTTTTGGTCTATGGTTGTTGGCATAACTGATACCATCTTGTACCCTTTCAGTGTCTCCTGTCCTCCTGCTGACTCTAGCCAGGCTTTTACTGTGCAGTAAACCACTTCTCTGTCATCAAGGGCTTTGTAGTTAATAGATATTGTTCAGTAATCATTAGAACCCTGTGGCCTGTGTTAGTCCCCAGACAATGCTGACTTCACTGGTATATATTTGGCGCCCACAAGACTAGTCACTCATTTATAAATCTTGACTTAGGAATGCACGTTCTGTCTCCAAGCACCTACCCCCAAATCTTAGGTTAGCTGTAAAACTGTCCAAGTGGCCCCTGAGTGGGGCTTGGCACAGTTGTGAATGCTTCTGGATCTTTGTCCACCCGATCCCAGTCCTACCCTGCAAATAAGTTACCCTATAATAAACTGATTCATTGATTATATGGAGCTGCCTGCCTCATTTTTGGGTCTCAAGATGCCCCCTCAATTCAGTGGGTACTTTTTGTTCTCTGTCTTCTAACACTTGGTTTTCTCATTTGTGCAGTGAGGGGTTTGGAGGAAAAGACCTCTGAGGAGTTTCCGATTCAATGAGCCCTTTTCTGAGTGTCCCCTCTATGTCCAGCAGAGTGGATATCACAGGGTCCATGCCCCAAAGGAGAGGGCGAGGGCTCTTCCACCTAGTGAGCTCCTGCTGCCAGCCAAGTGCTTTACCTTCATCCTGTCCTGTGGGTCTTGGTGGTCAAGGATGTGCACTTGTGAGTCATAAAGGACTGGATTCCAGTCCCAGCTCCTACCTGCAGCTGTGTCACCTTGGGCAAGTCACAGTCCCCTCTCTGAGCTTGTTTCCCTCAGCTGTGACCCTCTGGGGTTGTTGTGAGTCCTCATGGAGAGAATCCTTAGGCAATGCTACATAAGAGCCTGGAACAGGTAAGCACTCAAAGTTCACTAGGGTTTCCAGTGGTTACTGCTGTGATCAGCCTGGATTTCTGTGGAAAAGCTGTGGCCAAAATGATTTAAATCCCACCTCTGAGCACATGGACCTGCCAGGATATGTGGTCCAAGATTTCACAGTCCACATATGCAGAACCAACCTGGATCCTGGGCGCCTGCCTCTTATGCACATCCAATCAGTCTTCCTGATCCCTAGCCCTGGTTCTACATTCCCCTTACTCAGGTCTTTGCTGAGCTTTGATACTTCATTCCCCGCCCACTCACCTGCCAAGCCCTGCCTACCTTGGTGTCTCTCATAGTGTCCCCTTTGTATCTTCCAACCTTGCTTGGCAGGGAAGAGCCAGGTATGTGCTAAGCTGTGGCTTATTAAACCCCCTAACCCCTCCTTTCAGCCAGGCCTGCTGAGGTCCTCTCCCTCAAGATGGGACTCCTTTGGGGCATTGTGCCTTTTCCACCAGTCACCCAGAATCAACTTCTTGGCACCTCCTAGAGCATGTGTTGGGAGGGGACTTGCTTCTGGGATTTGCTGGTAATGAGAACAACATTGTTAACAGCCCTCTCGGGTTTCAGAGCTTTACAAACAATGGGGCAGCTTTTATTAACATTATTCCATCTAGTCCTCAGGACAGCCAGAGGAGACAGGCAGCCCAAGAGGAGGAAACTGAGGTTCAGAGAAGTGAAATGACTTTCCAATGCTTACACTGATGTTTAGCATCAGAGCTGCCAGGCAGACCCAGGACTTCATTCCCAGGCCTGTGCTCTGCATGTTCCATTGTGAGTAAGGGCATCAGGTCTAAAATGAGAAGTCCTGTGTTTGAATACCAGTTCTAATATATTTTAGCTATGTCACCTTAGGCAATAACTTAACCTCTCTGAGTCTGAGTTACTCCATCTGTAAAATGGTACATAACAGTATTACCTATCTCGTAGTTTTTGAGAGGATTCAATGAGGTAAGGGACACAGGGTGCCTGGAGTGAAACATGATTATTTGAAAATTACTCCAAAAGGTTTGTTTGTGGTACCTGGCAATAGCCAGGGCAGAGGCTGCCTGCATATATTGTTTCCCAGGGACTGGTCATGTTCATCTCCTGCAGAAGAAACTGCAACTTTCATGGGCTCTTAGGGTCTCTAGATGCCAAACAGCTGGCTTTACCAGGTACCACAGTCTACAGCTGGCACCTAAGCTTAGACTGCTTAGCATCCAGTAGTCAGTTTGTTCTGCTTGTAAAGCTCCTCTCTTGCTCCCTTTCCCCCAAAAAAGAAAAGCAAAAAGGGTCAGGGCCAATATGCCTCTATCTTAGGATGTACATGTATGAGCTGTTAGCAGCCAATACTCAGCTGCTAGAGGGCAGGCCACCAACTGTATCTACTATAGCATATCCCTTGAACCTCTCAGATTCATTCACTTATCACAAGTGGTTCACTCCACTTGGACATAGGGTTTCCAGCATTCTGATTAGTCACAATTTGGGGGGAAATTTCTAAGAGAAAGATTAACTACTGTTCCTGCTGCTGAAGTCAGTCTCAGCGTTGCAAGTGATATTTATAATCTCTCTCCTCTGCCACCCATTCTAGAGTCCCTTCTCCTTTACCTTCACATTCAGTCACTTCATTTGATCTAAATGTATTCCCTTCTAGCATGGCTCCTCCCTGACAGTTCTGAGCCCCTGGTTACTATACCTCATCAAACTATGGTTGCTTTCATTGCCCATTTACATTAAAGTAGTAAGGAACAAGAAAAGCTCCCTCCCCTGGGTGCCAACCTCCCAGCCCCCATTCATGTAAGAGCCGTCTTACTTCCTCCTGAAGATCAGAGTCGATTGCCCTTCTAAGTATGGTAACTCCTTGTTTTGAGTCCTGGTCTACTTGCCCAGTGGGCTTAAAATGACCAGTCAGAAGTTGTGGCTTTAAATTTAATGAGATTTACTGTGTCTCCTCTGGAATCAGGACTGCTAAATCCACAGAGGCGAAAATCATCAGGACCAGAAGCACAAATTGCCCCAAATGGGTCACTGAGGGTAATGGTGAGTGGAACCACTCTAACTTCCACTTACTGGTTCTTGGCAGGAAGCATCAATTTTTAATGGGCATCCAAGCTGAAAATGGTTCCTTTCCACTGGACAGGAACATGGACCCTATTACCACTCCCTGATAGGAGCAGCTAGTGGTTTTCTAATGCAATTATTTCAAGCCTCCCACTCACCCCTGACTATATTGCTGATACATGAGGACTTGCTAACAAACAAGTGACACCAATGCCCAAAATATAGGAACTTATAGGAGAAAATGTTAACATTGAATTAAATGCTAACTTTTTGGCTCCCACAGCCTCTCTCTGTCCTATGTCCTATGCTTCTGTGACCATGTGGCTGTGGTCCAGGCCTCCTGTTCTGACACCACACCCCAGACCTTCATGGGCTTCTGCATCGCCATGGTGGTGTCCTTCCTGCCCCTTCTCCTGGTGCTTCTCTCCTATGCCTACATCCTGGCCTCAGTGCTTCACATCAGCTCCCGAGAAGGACGCTCAAAAGCCTTCTCCACGTGCAGCTCCCACCGGCTGGTGGTTGGCACCTACTACTCCTCCATTGCCATAGTCTATAGCCTACGTGGCCTATAGGGCAGACCTGCCCCTTGACTTCCACATCATGGGCAATGGGGTGTTTGCCATTCTCACACCAGTCCTCAACCCCCTCATCTACACTCTGAGAAATAAGGATGTCAAAGCAGCTATCACCAAAATGGCATGTCCCCGGGACCCAGGGCATTCTGGAGCCTTGATCCTTAGATGCAACTAATTCAACTCCCTGGACACCAATGACAGTGCCCAACACACAATAACACAATAAATATTTTTAAATGAATTGTAGCAGCCCAAGGTGACTTCATTCAGTTGAACAGACAGCCAAAACCTGGTCCTCAAATACAGATTAAGAAGGGTTCCCAATAGTACTATAGAGTAATTATAGTTTTCACAATTTTCATCAGTCACTAATGTGATGAATAAAATTTGATCATCTAATTATTCATAGAAATTATTCATTTACTAGCTGCTAGAGGCAGAAATGAACCAGACATAGTTGCTGTCCTCAGGGTATCCATAGTCTAGTTGGGGAGTCAGACCCAGGTGGTCACAGAAGCAATGGTAGATGTGAGCAGTGCTGTCAAAAGCCATGTGGGAGTTCTGCACCACTGCTGGGATGGGCAGGAGGAGGGCAGTGAGCCAGGCACTGGCTGCCAGTGCAGCATTGATCTGTGGGGTCATGAGGACAGGGTAGTGCAGTGGGTGGCAGATAGCCACATAGCACATAGGCCATGACCACCAGGATGAAGGCTTCAGAGCAGGAGAAGCTTTGGAAGAGGTACATTTGCAGGAAACAGGCAGAGAAGCTGAGGCAGCGGTCCCCAAGTACAAGTAGGGACAGCATCTTGGGGATGGTGGCTGTGGTGGAGAGGATGTCCAGGGCAGAGAGGTTCATCAGGAAGAAGTACATGGGTTTGTGGAGGCTGGGCTCTGCCAGTACAGCCACCAGGATCAGGGCGTTACCCATCAGGATGAGAAGGTAGATTCAGAGGAAAATCAAGAAGACAGGGAAGAAGAGGGATCCAGGCAGGGAGGGAATGCCCACCAGACAGAAGATGGGTAAGGAGTCCTTTGATATGTTACAGGTGACTTACATAGTGGGTCAGGGCTTGATGTCTGCAGATACCGGAAACATCAGCATATATCTGGAAACCGGGATAATCAGGGAAACATTAACCAGAACATGCATCTTTTTCTTTTTGACCATAGATCTCAATCTCAACCACTTCTTTGTGCAGGAATTTCGTTGCACAACTAAGATTCCCGGGATGGTGAGGAGTCTAACGACTAATGGTTGAAAAGCTTGTCCTAACTGGTGGGGAAGAGAGATGGACACAAATATCTGAAAAGCTGTCCAAGAGCAAGAATAAAGAACTGAGGCTACTATTATCAGCTCCAGGGACCCAGAGTTCAGCCCCACATATGGAATAAGTTTTTTACAGTTAAAACTATCCCATACAGCAAAAGACTGGCTTGAAAATGTGTAAATTCCCTATAACTAGAGGTATGTAAAGCTGCGATCTTTTTGCCTGAAATGCTGCAGGGGAGGTTTAATATTTGGATAGGAGCTAGATTGAAAACCTTGAAGCAATTCCTGACCATAGATCCATTAGTTCTTAAGAAAAAATAAAGTAACATAAGTGAACCACATCAATCAGATGGTGGGGTTTGAGGGGCAGATTTATTCCATCTGAGGGAAAAGGTCTTGAGAAGTATCTTTATGTTCAAATGTCAATTAAAAAATCAAGTAGCTTCTTTATTAGTTCCACTAGTTCCTTTAAGGATATCTGATATGGTAGCTTAGTTCCTGATACCACAGGTAAAGGAACACCCTGGATACGGAACTGTTGATAAACCATTTACCAGATTTTGACTACTGTCAGCATCAGAATCGTGACTACAGCCATTTGGCACAAGCCCATCCAGTCCAGATATCTCTACACAGCAGGTCCTGAATGGGGTTCTTTTACCTGAGACCTCGTGAAGACAACAGGATCAGTGGTTGAGAGTGATGAAGCTAAACCCTGGAGTGAAAACTCTATGTACTTCACTAAGGTTCCCTTGACTTATGTGCCTCTGAGCCTAGAGGCTTGTCAATGGCCTCTGATAAAGACTCCCAGCTCTTGAGATCTGGTGGGAACTGGTGGGACTCCTTCCTCAGGGTTGGCTGAAAGAACCATTTCTGTACAGCTCTGGACTCAATTCCTCTTCTATGCCCTGCTCCATTCTCATCTTACTCAACCTAGGCTGGGACATTGTGACTCTGGAATCACTGTTCTTTGTGTCTACATTTCCTTTTGCTTGAGGATTCCCTTTCTATGATATCTTATTGACAGGTAGAGCAGCTTCCCCCACGGGCTGCTACAGAATGCTGTCTTTACCTGAGAATGGCTTCTCTTTCTGTGCAGCTGCTGCTGGGGCTCTCCGTCTGTCTCAGTCTAACCTGGGTGCCCTAGGACTTGCCTTTGTATCCTGTCTCGTGGTTGTATCCAGGGACAAACCATTCTGATTTGCCCACAACTGCCTGGTTTTAGCACTGCAAATCCCATGTCCCAGAAAATCCTAGTCCCTGGCAAGCTTTGGAGACTGGTCACCTTATGAGAGTCTTTGGTAGGAGTCACTTCCCGAATGGAATCCAGGTTGAAGATGGATTCTCCCCCAATGGGAAAAAACAGACTCCAAGGTGCTCCCCGGGTTACTGAGCAATCTTCCCCTTCCCCACTGCTGCAGCTCGCAGGTGTCACTGTTTAGCCATTTCATGCCCACTGCCCTGAGCCCCAGTTCAAAGGGCACTCTAGAGAGCTGAAAAGTCTCAAAACCAGTCAGGAGAGAAAACCAAGCTCTCTGCAGAGAGTAACTCCACTCCTTGGAGGCCACTGAAGAAGGTTACTGTGTATCCACGGCAGCCCAAGACACCCCTCTCCGCCCCCGCCAAATGACACTTTCCAACCCCCAGAACTGAGATGAGGGAAGTGTTGACTCGCCCTTCACCTTGACTAAGCGATCCAGGGTTGGGCTATGTTGACGTTCAGATTGTTGCTTCTCTGCCCCCAATGACCCCTGGAACAGAACCACTTGGTTTTCCAAAACCATGTCCAGCTTCTTCTTCTAATGAAAACTGTCTTATGTCACAGAATATGTAAGTGTGCAAATGGCCCTGCAGATAGTTGAGTCCCTGATCCTTTCCTCACAAATAAAGAGTCAGGTTGGGGTGGGGATGGGGAGTAGCCCGAGGTCAACAACAGGTCAGTACCAGACTTAGTCCTTAAACCAGGCCCCTCGCTCTGACCTTGGACTCTTTCCACCAAGACGGGCCTCCTGGAGAATTTGGAAGCTCTGGTTTCCACCTGAGGAAAAGTTAGACCAAAGGTTTAATTTTCCTCTCTCTATTTCTGAGGCTGATGTCAGAGGCAGTTATGAATTTGTTTTGTTCTGAGGGCATTTTCAAACGGTTTCATATGGACTGGTTACTAAATAGAGGCTCTACATGCTAGAAAAGTGCTTTTGTTAAAAAATGGCTTAAGGAAGAGGTGGACTAGGCACATCTGCACGGAAAGAAGTCACAACAGCCAGGCCCCATGTCCTGGGAAGAACTGTTGTACACCCAAGTGCCTGTTAGAAGCTGGGTTATTATAAACCTTCAATAAATATTTTCTAATAAATGAATTAATGAATGAAGGGTTAACCTAAGTTAAACTGAACTTCTTCCCATTATGGACTAGTCAGGGGGGATTTTTTTTCCCTTTTATTTTAGCATCTAAATTGATACAAACCACATTTCCTTGAAAGTTGCTGCAGTTCTAAGAAGTTGTTCTCTCTACTGACTGGGCTCATGTAAGCAGGTTGTGCAAGGTTAACAGGGCAATCATGGAGCATCAGAGTCAGAAGACTCTTTAAAAGCAGGCAATGAAGTCCCATCCCCATTGCCCTCCCCCCATTTTTCAAATTAAAAAACTTAGAGAATGGAACAACTTGCTCAAGGTCACACAGGGAACTTGTGGCAGAGCAACATTGGAAGCCAGACTCCTGGCTCCCTGCCCAGGGCTCCCAAGGGTCCACCACGGGATAGCCACTGAAGCTTCCCTGTCTGGCAGTACAGATCATTCTGGGTGTCATCATCCGTGTTTCCCTCACTGACCTGGGGGTTCCATGAGCCTGGAAGTTGGCTCTGACTCTTTCCCTATAAAACCAGCATTTCAGAGGGGCCCAGTACCTGGCTTCTTGGTGTTTCCACAGGCACAGACTGGAGCACAGCTGTCCTGACCACCTCAGGGCTTTCCCTCTATCACCCCTGCAGAATCAAACACTTGATTCTGTGGGGAAATTCTGGTTCTGCTCCATTATTGTTGCTGATAGGGAGGAGAAGGTCCAGAGAGGGGCTATGCCTGGCCAAAGTCACACAATTAGTAAATCATAACAGAGCCAGCCAGCCTGGAATGCTGTAAATTGGGGCAGAAAATTTTTGGCCCATTTCCCTTCTCTTAGAGCCCTTCTCATTGTGGGGTGAATGTCCCTAACTGCCTGCCCCCCTAAACTGTGCCCTTCCATAACCTTGTCCCTCCCGGGGCTCTGACAGGCTCTGGGCACTTCCTTTGTAGCTCTTATATCTACATGAGGGTGGGTTGGCTCACCAGCAACCTGGGCCACCTCCAGCTGCCCTGCTTCCAAGCCAGCACTGCCTCAGTGGGGAGAACCAGGTAGGGGCTGAGACTGGTTCCATTAAACCTCCCTAGCCTGCTGGGATCCTGCCCACTGTGGTCCCTTCTAATAGGGTCCTGTGTAGCATTTTTCTGGGGACTCCCAAGTGGCTGGTTGACAGCTACTACTGGGCTTTGTTGATATTAGAACAACAATATTAATAGTCCTCACTGGGGCATAGAACTTTGTGGGCTATGGAGGCTCTCCCACTTATTGAGCAATAATTCATATCCCCATGTGACAGATGAGGAAATGGATGCTCAGAGGTGAAAGAAATTGCCCAAGTCACACAGCAGGCCAAGGACAAGGCAGGACCAAAGTCTCAGATTTGGTAACCCAGTCTAGCTTCTGAGCCAACCAGTTACACAAACAAGAAAAAATTTGTGAAAAAAATATCTTTGTAAATGTAAAGTGCTGTTATATTGGCCAGGGAATTGGGATACCCTTTGAGTGTTTTGAAGCTAGAGGAACAAGTATGACAGAGCAAGAACCACTCAGTTTCCCAAATCATCACTCTCTCTCACTTGGCCTCTCTTACTCACTCTCACTCTTTCTTAGACTCCTTATAACTCTAAGCCCAATCCCCCTCCACAGAGTCTTCTGTGACTTCATCTTCTTCTAGCCCCCAGGGCTCTTGCTATCCTCTGGATTAACCAGGCTGGCTGCCTATGCCACCCATTTTAAACATTAGGAGAACTGAGGTTCATCATGCATTCCACATTGAATGAAGCTGGCTTTATGCTGGTTCCTGATTACAGGGAATTGGCAGAGTCTAACAGGGGCAGCCAGTGGAAAAAACTGACTGCCAATCATATCCAATGCGATCTGTGCTACGATAGAGTTGAAGGGCTCAGAGGAGGGAACAAAGCAGGTTTGCACCATGAAAGACAGCCTTCAGGTGGGTTGTGAATTGTAAGCAGATGAAGAGAGCTCTCCAGGCCAATAAGGCAGGGGCAAAGTCAGAAAGGGGTGGAAAGGTAGGAGTTAGAGGGGCAGACAGAAGTTTGTTTGGGATGCAGTATCGAGGGAAACTGGGAGTCTCAAAAGACGAGGCTAAAGAGGTCAGCAGGGCCAGAACCAGAAGGGTTTCAAATTCCAGGCCAGGGAATAAGAACTCAGCTTGAGGACACTGAAGAACCAGGGCCAGCCTTCCTGCAGGGGACTAACAGATGCATGTTTCAGAAAAATCACACCCACTGTCACATGGAGAATGGATTTAAATGGGAGAGGCTAGAGGCAGGGAGGCCAGCCAGTGAGCTAGACAGTGACAAGATAAATAGAGTGAAGGAACAATGACAACAATGACAGAAACCACTGCCATTTACTGAGTGCTCACTTGTGCCAATGACTGTGCCCAGGTGGTCACGGTCATCACTTCAGTCCATC